ATCTCTCACCATCGTTTTAATATAACTCATTTTTGCTCTCTTCTGGAATTTCATCCTGTGGCTGTGACAATAAATTTTCACAAACTGATATTATTCAGAGTGTTCCAATATTCCCTATTATCTACATGATGTGGATGGTATCTTTGCAACGTCTGTACACTAGTAGTGGGTGTAGTCCAGGGCAGAGTTCCCATGGCTATTTGTTCTGGTGAGCTGAATGGGTCCCCTTGGAGTCCAACAACTATGTTGAGAGAATTGTAGTATTGTGATGACAGAACCTGGTTGATGTAGGAGAGAGAGAGAGTGTGTGTGTGTGTGTGTATGTCTGTGTGAGTGTACGTGTGTGCTGACAACCACATTTCCCTTTACTTCCTTCTGGCTCCTTTGTGTCACTGCATTTCATTTGGTCTCCTTTTCTAAATTCAAGCCCAAAAGTGAAAAAAGGGAAATAACACGATGGCAGTTCTCGTAACCAGATCTTTATCAACATTCTTCATTAAGTCCTGAAGATAAATACATAAAAGGAAATACTAGCACAAAGGGTGTGTGCCTATGTAGGCCTTTATAAGTATTGCTCTACAGACACTCATAATGTAGTGTCATTTACGCTCTCCAAGTAGAGGCAGGTGAGAAAGGCTACAGAGGAATGAAGAAAGTACTGATGTTGACAAGGTATTGCAGAAGGAAGGCTCTAGACTCTGTGGTGGACACACATACTGGTCATTTGTCTATTTTTGGCTTTGTTGCCTCTGCTTTTAAGGTCTTAGCCATAAAATCTTTGCCTAGACCAATGTACTAAAGTGTTTCCCCCAGGTTTTTTTCTAGTAGTTTTATAATTTCAGATCTTACCTAGACCAATGTACTAAAGTGTTTTCGCCAGGTTTTTGTCTAGTACTTCTATAGCTTCAGATCTTACATTTAAGTCTTTAATTGATCTTGAGTTGATTTCTGTATATGATGAGAGACAGAGGTGCAGTTTCATTCTTCTGAATATGCATATCCAGTTTTCCCAATACCATTTATTGTGGAGGATGTCCTTTCCCCTATGTATGTTCTTGCTGCCTTTGTTGAAAATCAGTTTTGTCTGTAAACATGTGGATTTATTTCTGGGTTCTCTATTCTATTTCATTGGTCTTTGTGTCTGTTTTGATTACTGTAGCCTTGTAATATATTTTGAAGTCAAGTAGTGTGATGCCTCTGGCTTTGTTCTTTTTGGTCTGTATTGGTTTGGTTATTTGGTTCCTTTGTGGTTGCATATCAATTTTAGGATTTTTTTTCTATTTTTGTGAAAAATGTCATTGGTACTTTGATAAGGATTGCACTGAATCTGCAAATTACTTTTGGCAGTATGATCATTTAAATTATATTAATTCTTCCAACCCATGAGCATAGGCTATCTTTCCATTTGCTTGTGTCTTCTTCAATTTCTTTCATCAGTGTTTTGTAGTTTTCCTTGTAGAGGTCTTTCACCTACTTGGTTACATTTATTCCTAGGTGGGTTTTTTTGTAGCTATTTCAAGTATGCATGCCTTTTTAATTTCTTTCTCAGCTATTTCATCATTGGTGTATATAAACACCACTGATTTTTGTATATTGATGTTCTATCCTACAACTTTATTGAATTTATTTATCAAATATGAGAGGGTTTTGATGATTAGGTTTTTCTAGATATAAGTTTATATCATTTGCAAAGAAGAACACATGTAAAGATTCATTCCTCTTTTTCATCCAAGTCGGATGACTTGGATATCTGTTATTTCTCTTGCCTGATTGCTCTGACTAGGTCTTCCAGTACTATTTTGAATAGTAGTGGTGAAGGTGAAAAAACAAGACCCTTGCCTTGTCCCAGTTCGTAGATGAAATGGTTTCAGCTTTTCCCCATTCAGTATGATGTTAACTGTGAGTTTATCATATATGGCTTTTAATATTTTGAGGTATGTTCTTTTGATGCCTAATTTCTTGAGAGCTTTTATCATGAAAGGATGATGAATTTTATCAAATGCTTTTTATGGACTGATTGAGATTATCATATGGTTTTTGTCCTTCATTTTGTCGATGTAACATATTATGTTTGTTTATTTGCATATGTTGAACCATCTTTGCCTCCCTGGTATAAATCCCACTTGATCATGGCGCATTATCTTTTTGATGTGCTGTTGGATTCAGGTTGCTAGTATTTTGTTGAGAATTTTTGCATCTATTTTCATCAGGGTTATTGGCCTGTAGTTTTCTTTTTTGTTGAGTCTTTGTCTGGTTTTTGGTATCATGGTAATGCTGCCCTCATAAAATGAATTAGGGAGAATTCCCTTCGCTTCCATTTTTTTCAATAGTTTGGATATAACTTGTGATAGTTCTTCTTTGAAGGTTTGGTAGAATTCATCAGAGAAACCATCCAGGCCTGGGCTTTTCTCTGTTGGAAGATTTTTATTACTGATTCAAGCTCATTACTTATTATTGGTATGTTCAGGTATTCTATTTCTTCCTGATTCAATCTAGGTAGGTTGTATATGTCCAGGAATCTATCTATTTCCTCTAGGCTTTCCAATTTGGTAGTATATAATTGTTTATAATAGTCTCTGATGATCTTTTGTATTTCCATGGTATCAGTTGTAGTGTCTCCTTTTTCATTTTTGATGTTTATTTGTGTCTTCTCTGTTTTTTTTCTTGGTTATTCTAGCTGGTGGTTTACGAATTTGTTACATTTTCAAAAATCCAAATTTTTGTTTCATTAAAACTCTGTGTTGTTTTAGTTTCCATTTTGTTTAGTTTGGCTCCAACCTTTACTGTTTCCTTTCTTCTACTACCAATTTTGGATTTGGTTTGTTTTTGCTTTTTTAGTTCCTTGAGGTACACAGTTAGATTGATTATTTGGAATCTTTCTACACTTTTGATGTAGGCATCTATTGATATAGATTTTTCTCTTTGCACTGCTTTTGGTGTATCCCATAGGTTTTGGTATGTTGTGTTTCCATTTTCATTTGTTTCAAAAACTTTTTGATTAATTCAATTTTTTTTTCTTGACTCAGTGGTCATTCTGGAGCATGCTGTTTAATTTCCACATATTTGTACAGTTGCCCAGGTTCCTCTTGTTATTGATTTCTAGTTTTATTCCATTTTTGTCTGAGAACATATTTGATATAATTTTAATTTTTAAAATTTATTGAGGCTTGTTTTGTGTCCTACTTACCTAATTCTTTCACCATTAAATAGAAAACAACAGCTATTTCAAATTAATGAATACATATTACTTTTGTTAATCTGTTCAAAAGTATGTCCTGTGTCTAAATATTCATCAAAATACTTTTATTCCTGAATACTAAATTTCAAACAATATACAAAAGCACACTTATGAACTGTAATTAATCTTCAACTCTCACTAGCTCAACTCCTACCTCCTGACCCAAACTGTCTGTTGTCCACAAAATGGTGTACTTTCCAGATATGTCCCTGTGGATGAGGGGCACATGACTATGTTCACCTACACATGCATATAATCTTTTTACCAAAAAGTGCAATCACATTAATCATCTCCTTTTGCAATTTGACTTTTCCATTTAATTCTTCTGAGGATTTATATTAGCATCTTATTAGTTCTTGTAGCTTTAGCATAATCAACAAGTTCATTGTTCATGTCTATATTTATTGGAAGTCTATGTCAAAACTAGTTGTCAATTGTTTTGTTACTGAGTTTGCCCTATAAATTATGGATACTAATCCAATATCTCAGATGTAGTTTGAAAATGTTTTCCCCATTGTTTTATAGGAATTCTTAGTGTTATTTTCATTTAGAATTTCTTTTCAACTTCAATAATATGAATAAAATATAAACAAATTGTAATTTAAAAAGAAATACTGGTGAAGAACAACTTAGGGGGTGTGTACTGTCAGCCTTGAGAAAAATTAGAGCATTGAGAGTCCTGGAGATACCAAGATAAAATGGAAAAATACTTTAAGCAATTCTAGGGTTACCTGCTGATCTGGAGAGAAAAAAGTTTTCTCCTGATTTACATAAACTTTCCTAAAGTACCCTGATCTGAATAATGGTCAAAGTGATAGGTACCTTGAATAGCAGTTAAGATTAAAGGAGATAAAATATAAAGTGCATTTGCTTACAGTAGTTTAGTGCATGTTACTTTCCTTCTCTCCAGCTCACCTGTCCCAGGGCCAATGCTTGAGCTTCTGCCTGAGCCCACTCACCTCTCTGAGGATCAGCCAACTAACTCGTGTGGCCCCACACCCAGGTCTCTTGGCACAAATGGTGGGATTTCATCTCCTTTATCTTCTTCATCACCCAGAGGGATTGTGGAGTGAGGACACATTGGTCCACAATAGCAGGGCAGTAGAATCTGACTATTTTTCAAGCCCTGGAAGCCCATCTTCTAAAAGGGAGGCTACTCAGGGCTGTCTATGGAGGATGAGGGATGAAACCTCATTCCAATTCTACCATCTATTTGGAGAAGTGACTTTGGCTCTGAAAGCCTGAGTTTGGTCATCTATGAAATGGGACTGACCATACCATCCTTACAGTGCTGTCCTGAGAGGTAAATGAGAAAACCTGTATAGAGTATATGGCATAGAGTGGGACTTCAATGGCCTTTAAATGTTGGGACACAGCACTAGGGGATGGCTGAGCCTTAGGGCTAAGGAGGCATTGTGAAAAATCATTTCTCATTGTTTCTCGTTATAAGAAAACAGATACCTAGTTGAAGAAAGCAAATGACCCTGTGATATGAATTGAGTTCAAAGATTTGTAGACAGTTGTTTCTGTACTTCCTGGGTATTATCAAAGAGCTTTTCAACATCATGTCCCTGAGGTGACCCAAATCCAGTTCCCCATGCTGGAAAGACAGGCGTGTCTTTGAACTCACATGTTAAACTCAGAAATAGCTAACATCAGGGGAGCAAAAATTTGTGTTTGCCTAATGGCTGTTCCTGGACTAGTCAGTATGGTTTTGGGCTCTTTTTTTTAAATTTTGTTAAGGAAAAATTTGGACCCATACCACAGTCCTCAGTGAAGAGTCTTCAGATTATGCAGTATTCAGCCACATCACTCGAGGGTTTTTTTTTTTTTTTTTTTTTTTTTCGGTCATCTGCTGCCTCCCTTAGAGACAAAAATCCAATAGTTACTAGCAAGTCTTAGACACATTATATACTTTGACTGTTTCCCCACCCAAATCTCACCTTAAATTGTAATAATCCCCACATGTCAAATGTGGGGCCAGGTGGAGATAACTGAATCATGAGGGCAGTTTCCCCCATACTGTTCTCATAGTAGTGAATAAGTCTAACGAGATCTGATGGTTTTATATATGGGAGTTCCCCTGCACAAGCTCTCTTGTCTGCCACAATGTAAGATGTGTTTTGCCTTCTGCCATGATTGTGAGGCCTCCCCAGCCATGTGGAACTGTGAGTCAATTAAACCTCTTTCCTTTATAAATTATCTAGTCTCAGTTATGTCTTTATTAGCAGCATGAGAGTAGACTAATACAACACACAATTGTCCAGTTTTAATTAGCTAACAACTAAATATTTATTGAGCCCAGAATTCATGCTATTCCATTGGAAGTACTTCATGAACTCTAGAGCCAAATTAACTGGGTAAGAAAGGAAATTAATACACGGGTGACTTCATTGCTTAAATATCAGATGAGATGGCTCTTTCTCATTAATTTTTAAACTTGATCAAGTTTCAAAAACTTGATGATTTTCAAAAATTCCTCCTTGGACCTCTCATCACCTATTCAACCACATGATAGAGATACCACTCCTCTCCTTCTTCTGATCTCTCTCTCTCTTTCTCTCCTCTCTCTCTCTGTGTGTGTGTGTGTGTGTGTGTGTGTGTGTTTGTGTGTGTGTGTGTGTGTGTGTTTGTGTGTGTATGTGTGTGTGTGTATGTCCTCACCCATTGGATTCTCTCTTCTCCTTCAAATTCAAAGTTCCACAAAGAGTTGTATATATTCCTTGTTAACACTCTTCACTTTTCACTGATACTTTATCCCATTACACTATGGTGTCTGTCCCCAAGATCATCAATTAAAGCATATGAATTAAAACTCTTTTGGGTTTGACCCAAGATGGCAGAATAGGAACAGCTGCGGAGTGCAGTTCCCAGCAATAACAAAGCAGAGAGTGAGTGCTCACCACATTTCCAAACAAGTTTTCACTGCCCACAACCAGGAGATTCCCAGGCCGAAAAGTGCCACAAGTTTTCAGCAAAGCTGGTGCCACGGTTTGGTGCACAGAAACTTACACAAATCTGGGCAGCTGTTTCAACTGGTGCCTCGAGTGCCTGGGAGACAGAGCCGCCCATTCAGCTGAAAGGGAGCGGGTGAGACAGGGAGCCAGGCAATCTGGCTTGGCAGATACCACCCCCACAAAACAAGCAATCTGAAATGCTCTGGATTGAGAGTTTTGTAGCAAGCACACCTGGACCCAAGATGGTCCAACTTAGTGGGGAGAAGGGCGTCCACCACTACCGAGGCAGTCTGCCACTACCAAGGCAGTTCACACAGCAGCTGGGAAGAGCCTGTGGCAGCTCAGCAACACCTCTGCCGGCAAACTGTGACTAGACTACTCTGTGTGGGGTAGGGCATCTCTGAAAAAAGGCAGCAGCATGTCAGGAACTTATAAATAAAGTCAACATTCCTAGGTCAGAGCACCTGACAAAAGAAGCAGTATGAGTTCCGCTGCAGCAGACTTAAAGGTACCTGCCCAGCAGCTCTGCACAGAACAATGGAGCTCCCAGCACAGCACTTGAGCTCCTACAAGGGACAGACTGTCTCCTCAAGCAGCTCCCCAATCCCCATATACCCAAAGAGACACCTTATAAAGTTGTCGGCTCAGGCCGACATCTGGCGGTACCCTTCTGGGACGAAAATAACAGAAGAAGAAGCCAGCAGCAACCCTTACTGTTCTGCAGCCCCTGTGGGTGATCCCTACACAAGCAGGGTCTGGAGTGGACCTCCAGCAGTCCTGCAGCAGAGGGGCCTGATTGTTAGAAGGAAAACTAAGAAACAGAAAGAAATAGATTCAACATCAACAAAAAGGACGTCTACTCAGAGAACCCACCTGAAAGTGACCAACTACAAAGACCATGGGTAGATAAAGCCACTAAGATGGGAAGAAACCAGTGCAAAAAGGATGAAAACAACAAAAACCAGAATGCTTCTGATCCTCCAAGGGATCACAACTCCTCACCAGGTAGGGATCAAAGATGGATGGAGAATGAATCTGATGAATTGACAGAAAGATGGACGCAGAATGAATCTGATGAATTGACAGAAAGTGGGTAATAACAAGCTTCTCAGAGCTAAAAAAAAAACATGTGCTAACCCAATGCAAAGAAACCAAGAACCTAGAAAAAGGTTAGATGAGATGCTAACTAGAATAAACAGCTTAGAGAAGAATATAAACAACTTGATGGAGCTGAAAAACACAGCAC